TTTCTACTGGAATGAATATAAATTGATGGAACCACATTGGAAGTTCAGTATCATCTCTTAAAAGTTAAGCATTCATTGACGCTGTGAAGCAGCAACTGTACCTCCACACATACAATCAACAGATCTTTCACATATACACATGGAAACACACACAGAATGTTTAGAGTATCTTGCTCACAATTACAAAAGCAAAAAATAACCAAATGTCCAACAAGAGAAAATAGACAGACATTGAACTATCCAACAATGGGAGATACTAAATGACATGTAGCAACTACAACGAATGACTACAGCAACATGCAATAATATGGATTTAAGACTTAGCTAAACTACCCGACAATTCAAATTCAAAAAGATTATACTCAACACAATTAAAAGATACTTCTTTTAGAATTATACATCCAATAAAAGACACAGAAGGAAGAGAATGACCACAGGATTCAAGATGGGTTTAGGTTGACAAGAAGGCAGAGTTGGGGACAGGAGATGGAGAAAAACTATATTCAAGTTAAGTCCATATCTTCGGGGTAGGGGGAAGTGGTAGTCCATGAGCACCTATTATGATAGACAGATAATGATTCACAATGATTATGACTGAAGTTTAAAAAAGAAAAAAAAATCCACAAATCACATGTAACTTGCTCAATGAAAATTATGAAACAAACAGAATAATCACCCCCTTAGAGAATTCCTAAAGTGCCCACTATAGGGAAGGGACAACAATAAAATTAATGTATAAAATGTAAGATACTCAGCATTTTTATTGGATAGTATGTCTTCTATAACCAAAAAATAAATTCCAAATTCAATCATAACCACCTTAAAGTGCCTATGTGCCAGGGAAGTAAAGTATTTACCAATTAGACAAAGTAATCACTGCCAAATCCCTTAAACACTTCAGTATTTAAGTATTAGATATTAAAAGTAAGCTAAAGATGGTTTATCGTATACAGGAGGATGTGTACTAGTTACATGCAAATACTATACCATTTTATATAAAGGACGTGAGCATTCAAGGATTCTGGGGTTCAAGGATTCCACAGGGGTCCTGGAAGCAATCCCCCATGAATATCAAGGGATAAATGTATTAGTGTATTATCAATATACATTCTCTAAAACAATAAAAATGCTATGTAAATATTTGTTATACTGTATTATTTAGGGAATAAAAACAGAAAAAAGTGTACATATTCAGCATGTTTTTGAGTATTTTCAACCTGCTTTTATTTGACTCCATGGATGACTACAATTTCCTATTGTCAATAATCATAATGAATTTCTCCTAAAACAGTTAGTCATTCCTCATCCTAGGTAACAAATGGAATCTCCTCATTAATATATTGAGCACATACTAAGTGCCAAACACTGAGCTAGGTTTTATATATAAGCTTAAAACCTTAATACTTATACAACAGTCTACTGAGAAATAAATCTTTTGGAAGATCGTTGACTAACATTTGACATCTTTCATCAAAAATGGTTAATTGTTAAGTGAAGAAAGCCTGTGAAAAGGCTCTCTGTATTGTTATTCCCTGTGGAATATTATACCTTCTTTACAATAATGAAGCACTGCTAAATTATAGATTACCTAAATAAATGTGGAAATTCCTTTTTCCTTACTCTAGCAGGGACTAACAAGACGTGCAAAGCTTATATTAAAGTTAACCTTGATTAACTACTTTTTTTTCCTGATTTCCACAAATTTTACACAGCACTGGAATGCAAAACAATTATGGGTCCACAGAACTGTGGCAACTTAAAGAATGTTGGGAAACTTACAGACCTGAATTCAAATTCAGACTTACAGTGTGACCATAGGTAATCTACTAAGCATTCTTGAACTTAGTTTCCTGATTCATAAAATGGAAATAACATGTCTTCTATTAGATTGCTATGAAAATCAAGGCATATGGGATACTAAGTACAATGTCAGATATGTAGCAAATAATAAATGCTATTTGTACTTTCACAGAATTCTCTTCTAGTCCAAATGTTATTTGTACTCTCTTCTAGGAAGCAAAAACTATTATCTTGTCATCTTGATAGCCTCCAATACAGCTTTGGTAGATATTCAATAATGTTAGCAAAATTAACAATTGTAATTTAAGGCTAACTATCTCAACTAACCCTTTCTGCTGTGAATGGAATTTAAGATTCCCAGCCCAACACTTTGCATTTTGATGAAGACGATGAATCACCAATAATCGACAAGGTTATTTTGCTTAATATGTTGCTCAGTAAGTATACGGTTCTGCATTCTACAAAATTACTGTTATAGTAACATTTTCATTTTGAGATTCTAAATAGTTTTCACTAATATAGTTTCCTTGGAAAGAAAACTTTGCTTCTTTGTCCTTGCAAAAATAAGTTTCCTGATATATTTCAAAGTTAAATATTTTCTAACCAAGACAAAAAACTAGTTATGAAATAAAAATTAGAAATTTCCAGTTAAATTAAAAATTTTAAAGTCTATTTTGTGTTGTTACTATAGCAAGTATTTTTCCTTACACTTTGAAGTTTCTGGACATTAAAGTTTGTGTGTACTTTATTAATGCTTCCTTGTTTATTAAGTTTCCTATATTAATAGCAACAGTTAAAAACATTAAAATAATTCACAAAACAAAGTGTTGTAGTTTCAGATTTTCTTAGTTTTTTCTTTCTATAACCAAAGGTTATTGACAAGCAAGCCAAGTTCAGCTCAAGTAGTGAAGTATTTCAAACTCTGCAGTATAATTTTAAAACAATAACTAAAAACTGGATATATATTTCTAAATATAAATTTTATTAAAGTCACATAATGTTTATTAAAGTAAGCAGTATTCAGAGTGAACCAAGTTCCTAAGACAAGATATGGCAAAATTACAGTGTTTACCTATTAAGCACATTTTAAAACTGGCTACATAACTAACTAACCAAATACCCCTTGGCAAATAAGCATTAAGAAATCCGTATTAAACTATCTTTCAATCTAAATAAATTCAAACAATTTAGAAAAAGTTTGGTGAAGTTTGGTTAGTATATGCTAGTTTCATGACCCTATGAAATAACAGAAATGTTTGAGTAGATAGCTATGCTTGGTGAAGCAAATTTATGACCATTTATCTTAAGTTCTGATATAAATACACTCAAATATTTTAATAAACATGATAAACTTTAAGTGTAATAACTTTTATTAGAACTGGGAGTCCAATAAACCAAGAAAAATGCCCTGGATATACATAACAACCTTAAGTTATTAAAGTACATTTAAAAACTATTCTTTTCCTAGAGGGAGTTATATCTTGGTTTAATATCTAACCTTAGATCAGGTGTTCCCCTACTTCGGTTCTATTTTTCAAATTATCATCTTTAAAATTTATTTCCTTAACTTGCTTCCTTGTTACTGCCAAAATTGATCTTATTAACTAAAATGTCCTAAATATTATATTCTAAAAAACATAAAAATTCTCTCGGTTCCAGGGCCAAAACAAGTGTCTTTTACACCAATTTTCTATAAAAGGTCACCAGGTACTTCATAATTCTAACACCACTAAATTCAAAAGAAAAACTCTCCTGTTATTTTAATGGCTTTTTCTCTATCAAACGTGTGCTTTTCATGTTTAAAAAAAAAAAGTAGGCGGTAATTCAGTATTCCTCCTGATGTGCCTGGGACAATCTTCATTTTAAAAGCTCATGTAAATTAATAAAATAATAAATTCCATTCATTTAGCAAATGTGATATGCTGTAAGTTTGTTTGTAAACGCTTAAGTGTAATTAAAACACTACACAGAACATTTTCAATGATACAAATGCAAAGCTGAATTTCCTATAGTAAATTCCAAATATACAACACTGGATTAGTGTACCTTTTGTGTAGGACAGGATACCTTCAACCTTGCTTATGATTGCCCAATAAACCAAATTTAAACAGGAATCTACCAAAAAATTCATTTCAACAAGAAATTTAAATGCAGTTGCAATACGTAATTTTGACATCATAAAGAATCAACACTTGTTTCTAAATTCAGTTAAAAAAAAAAAGTTCAACCTCAAAAAGAAATGCAAGCACACTGTTTTCTTCATTCTCTTAATTTCTAATCTTTAGGTAGCCAAAACCAAGCTAAAAAAAAAAAAAAAAAAAACATGAAATTTTAACCCTGCTGTAAAATCTCTTGAACGAAAACTAACCCCAACAGGGTAGACTGTCTCCTTGTCCACCACAGAGAGCTAAACAAAAATCGTGCCTTCATCATCAAATATTTAGCTGAAAAAGGGAAAGAATAATATTGCTACTCAACATGGATTTAACTAATTAAGGGATGTATTTGTTATCTTCAGCGGACGTGGTGGTGTCTAACATTTTCTCTTAATCGCTGCTTTCTCGTTTGTAAACAACTCCTGCAGCTTTCTCTGGGGTACAAACAGGAGGGAAAATGAAACTCTGAAAAGCATCAGCATCTGAACTTCCGGATCAGAGCAGGACCAACGCAGAAAGGATCAATCACTTGGTAAGGAAGGAAGAGAGCCCGCGAATCAGAGGACAGAAACTCATCACCTAGAGGGTAGTGAAGCCCAGACAGCATTTGGAGAGGCTCCTTTCTGACAAAACTTTTGGGGGCTAGCAGTGCTGGTGGCGCTCTTTGTGCGGTCCGAGGGGAAGGGGAGGGACGAGAAAACAGCTTGGGAGTCATTCAAAGGAGTTTCAGGAGCGGGGTTCGGGGGAACGGCGGGGCGGCGGTGACACCGGGGCGGGGGCGACGAGCCGGCCGCTCCCGCACGGGTGAGAGCAGTCTCCACGCAGGCGGGCCGACCGACAGGAATGAAGTCCCCTCGGGTAGGTGGACCCGAACGAAAGCGGCGGCAGGCCGCGTATTGGCTGGGGAGAGGGTCTGGCCCCAGGGAGATCCCAGTTTCCGCACTCAGCGGGCTCGGGGCGCAGCGGCCGCACGGCTTGTCTGGGTCCTCTACCCCGCGCCTCTTTCTCTCTCCGCGTCCTCGGCCGGCGGGCCGCGGCCCTTACCTGCAGCTCCGTGAGCAGGATCTCCCCCCGCTCGGGGTTCGACGCCATTGCGCTCCGCTCTGGACTCCGCACCTGAACGCGGCCGCCGCTGGGCGAAGGGAGAAGGCGGGACGGGAGACTGACTGGGGGTGAGGAGCGGGGAGAAAAAGGAAAAAGCAAAAAAACTAGGGCTTCATGGAGACGCAGCCTCTGCTGGAGGCGCGGCTTATTCCGCCCGGCTCATGGAGAGCGGCGGGGAGCGAGGGCACCCGTAGTCGCTCCCCCTCGCCGCCCGCCGCCGCCCGCGCCGGACTCTTGGCCCAAGTCGCTCCCCCTGGGCGACGCCAGGAGCCGCCTCAAACCTCACTGTACAGGGTGCAGCGGCCGCGGCTGCAGCTCCTTCTGTCGCACCATTTGGCTGTCACTGCGTCGCAAAAGCGGCCTCACTTGGCGGCTGCCAGCACACGTGACGGCCGCAGCCACCGCCTCTCGTCGGGCGGGGCAGGTGGGGCGTAGGGGACCCGGAGGACGCGAGTGGGGCGGGGGGACGGGGCGGCTTCCGACCCGGCTCGGCGGCGGGCAGCCATTGGACCGGCGGGGGTGAAAATGAGGGGAAAGGACTGGGCTGGCGTCTTTGGGGAGGCGGGAAGAAGTGAAAGGACACGCCCGCTTTCCTGCTGCGTTTAACGGCCCCAGGGTGAACGCTACATCTGTGGAGCCCACTCGCGGGTTTTTCTTTCTTTCTTTCTTTCTTTTTTTTTCCGCCATCGTTTTTTCCAGTGCCGCCTTCTCTTGCCGAAGTTTGCCCTCAACCCTTAGGGATTCCGCCCGTCCCCCATGCACCAAGGGCTAATCCGGCCTTTGGCGCGCCTTCTCGCCATGAAGTGCGGAACTTGCCCGAGCTAGTGTGGGGTTGTATTTTCAGGAACTGCGAGCGGCTCCATCTCTGGCAACTACCTACCGATGCAGAGCCTTCACAGTGTCTTTTCCTCGAGCGCGAAACTGCGGTTTGGGTTGGAAAATCCTACAGAGCTCAAAATTGAATTATCTGGCTTCTTGAGTTTTTTAACTGAACTTAATTGAAGGAGATGGGGCGGAATCAGCCTGGGACTGAAAAAAAGCCAACTTTCCTTGGTGTGGTAACCATCAGAACTGACTCGCCTACTTAGTAACTTACCTAAGTAGTGTAAGTTCAGGTTTTAAGGATTGACACAGTAGTAATGAAGGAATATCAACGAAGTCGACAACAGGGAGCTTTTGTCTAGTTGGGGCATGGATAGTCTACGCAATTGGCTTCCTTACTTGAGGCTGAAGTATTTTGGATTTGCTAAAAGCGACTTGGAGAAAGTGGTAGGCATTTGGTAGGTAGATATTAAGGTTCGGGTGGTAGGTGCTATTTACGTAGGTAGCCAGTTAGGAAGGGCATTCATTGACTTTTTTTTTTTTTTAAGGTCTAATGTACTTATCTTACATTCCACGTGAGATTTGTCGGGCCGATGCTAGGCCTTACGTTTGGTCTTTGTCTTCTCAAGTCTCACACATGAACAATTATTGAAGGTCTAGAGTTCTGTGACTGAGTTCTGAACCCCCAACCCATACATTGCTGAAGAATTTTTCTGGTGTGTACTTACAGCTATTTATATGGTTAATGAATTGCCTTGGTTGAAAATGATAATTAACATATATGAACTAACAACACTTGGGAAAACCAGGGTATAATTACCTTCCCTGGTAACTAAGAATCAGGCAGAGTTAGGCCCTGGAGTCATAACTAGGATTAAGAAAGAGTTTATAACAAGTTCGTAGGGAGTTCTTTGGGGAAACAGACTTGTGTCTAAAACAACTATGCGATTTTAAATGATAGGTACAAAGTGTTAGGGGAACACTGTGTATTTGTGTGCATGTATAGCAACTTTTACTATACATAAAATTGACTAGTAAAATACACATAAAATTTGCCATTTTAAGTGTGTAATTCAGGGGCACTGAATTCATGCTGGTAGATTTTCTTTTCTTGCCTTACCTTACTCCAGAAAAGATGTGAGGTTGTTGACATGCGTGTAATACATGGTTCATAATGGTTGCATTAAGAATTTCCTATGAAAGTACTTAGAAATACAGTCGATGAATTAGCATTCTTTACAAAAATAAGTTTAGATATGAGAGAAAATGTTCACATTTTAGCATCATGAAATTTTAGAACTAGAAGAGACTTAAATGACTAGCCTAACTTTTACTATTGGTTGAAAAATAAATCATAGCTTAGCTAATTTGGAGCAAGATGACATTATTACTTAGTGGCAGAAATGGAGACTAGAACTCAAGTATACCAGTTGCTACCTGTGCTTATTTTAACATACATGTGTATTAAAATAGAATCCTCATTTAAACTGAACTCAAAAGCATTATCTTCCTTCAGATCATTACTGTAGGAAAAGACTTTACATTTTACATTTTCTAGTGCTAAGGCAAGTAACCATAATTTTCATTTTACAAATCACACGTAAAATGTAAGAAACAAATACACAGAGTTTTCAAAGTTAATAGAAATTATTTCTGAGATTACTTATGCTAGGGAAAATAATACAACATAAAAGGGAAGCAAACACACTATAAAAACCGTTGGATCATCTGGGAAATTCGATTTTTGGAGGGGAGGTTGAGACAGGGTCTCACTATGTAGCCCAAGGTGACCTGAAACTTGTTATGTAGCCCTGGCTGGGCTTGACCTCAAGATCCTCCTCCTCAATCTCCTGAGTACTAAGATTATAGGCTTGCACTGCCATGTCTGGCAAAATGTAATAGTTTTAGCAACCACTTAGTTTAAACTAGAAGATACTAATCAGCTCAAGTCTCTGTTCAGGAAAAAAATACTTAATCAGATCATACTTAATCAGCGACACACTTCAAAATGTTTTAATAGAAATACATACCATGTTCATACAAATGAATTGTTTTCACCCCCTGTTTACAAATATTTTTAGGGAATCCTAAGTACATTTCACTTTTTTGTATTCTGATTTACATTTTAAAAACAGATAGAGGCTCAAGTGGTAGAGTGCTTGCCTACCAAAATGAGAGGCCATGAGTTCAAACCCAGGTGCTACCACAATAAAATAAAAAGGAGGAAAAAAATTCAGGTTTATATTTAAGAAGTTAAAAGATCTTGAAAATACTTGGTATCACTCATTTTAAAATTTTTCATAAATATTCTAAGATCTTCAGGAAGAGGACATAATTGAACATATATAAACATTTTAAATTACTAACTAGAGAGAAAGTATTATTCCCCTGTTTTATTTTTTAAAATAGAACAGGTATTAAGGGAAAATCTTAGTAGGGCTGGCTTTGTGGTTGTTTTTTATTTGTGGTGATGAAAGGAACCTTTACTTTGTGAGCCACATTTTTTATTGTTTTCCATTGTGTATTTCCTTTTGTTATTCCTTAATATTTAGGAAAGTGTTTGAAAATCCCAGCTTATTCTTATGGAGCATAGAGGGAAGAGCTTTCTTGTTAGTTTTTGTTTTGTTGCTTCAATGTGAGGTGTTGAAAGAAAACACACACACACACACACACACACACACACACTCTTCCAAGAGAACCGAGTGAAGTAGCAGTGGTAATCAAAATAAGAGAATCCCAAAGGAGTGGTAAAATTCAGGAAGACAGAACCAGAACTACATGATCATTACTACTGTCTTCCTTAAAAAACCACTAGTAGGAATTGTCCTTTTGTATATTCAAAATAATTTTGAGGAGAAGGTTATTAAAGTGAAGAACACAGAAAAGTAGTCAACTGTAGTGACTAGCAGATGCTTTGGGGGATGAGGATTGATCGGACATCCCCTTCACTAAAAATTCCTCCTGTCTCCAGAGATGTCTCTGCAGCCATATTGAATCTGCTTCACTTAGATGTTCTAGTAAACTTTGATTGGACCACTGATAGACCATATACAAGTTTAGACAATCAGAATCTCTCTACAAGAATGTGAAAACAGAATATTGGAATGTTGCACATGGCTGGTTCTAGAGTGGTAAGGTGTTCTAGGGCTAGAATGGTGTTTTCTGCCATGTGCACACAGATTCAGTTAAAAACTCTGTCACTGGGAATATAGTGATTACTAAGGCAAACTTGATCTCTGTATCATGGAACTTGCCATTTAGTGATACAGAAGGTGAATTCAGGGTATTTTAAACACAGGTCAGGAAGTCCTTTTCTGGTACTTCACATTTAAGCTGAAATCTCATTGTCAGGTGAGATTAACTGGCTAAAAAGAAAAAGTACAGAACTTTCCAGTGAGAGAGAATAATATATAGGTAAATATTCTAAAGTGGGAGGGAGCAATTTTGTAATTACTAGAAGGCCAATAAGGCTATAGTAAACATGGGATAATAAGAATACATAGACCATGTGTACCAGTCAGGCTAGGTTGTGCTGAATAACAAAATATTTCAAAAGATTTTCAGTGGTCTCCAATAGGGTTTGTTATCTCTCTTGATGCATGTCCAAATGACTCTGCTCCATGTCATCTTTAATCTAGATTCAGGCTGATAGAGTAATCTTTATGTGAAATAATTGTCATTGTCATGGCAGAAGGAAAAGAAAAGTGGTAAATCATGCACTGGTTCCTAACATGTGTGCTCATATTTATTTCACTTTTCATTAACCAAACCATTGCAATATCTGAGAGCAATAGGGACAGGGTGAATAATCCTGCAACAGACAAGGGCACCACAACCAAGAGTACTGAATATGGGTGAGTAGGAATCGATTACACACCATACTGAGATTTTGGTGTTTATCTTAGTAGCAATGGAAAACCATTGAATAAATTTCCCATTTTAATAACTCATTCTGACTATATGAGGAAAACGACAGTTTGGAAATGGACAAGAGTAAATTAAGCCAAGGAAAACAACAGTTTGGAAATGGACAAGAGTAAATTAAGCCAAGGTAATAACCATCAGAGAAAGAATGACCACAGTTCTACCTATAGAATACAAGTAGGTACTGTATCAAACGATAAATAATAAGTATATATGAAACCTGGTATGGACCTTCCTATGGCACTTTGTTTTCACATTTATTTAGGCACTTAAATCTCTTCTCCATGGAGTCATTGTATATAATCTTGCTCTATTAGACTTTAAACCAGAAGAAAGGGTCCATGTCTTATATGGCCTAATACAGTATTTCTTAGGTAGTAGATAATGGTGTGTGTGATTCTGTATTTCTGCATGTGTAACAGAAGCTTAGTCTGTCGGCTAGGGACTCCCTAACCAGAAAATTAAGTAAGCTTGGATTAAATGCCCAACTTCATTTCCTCTAAAGTAAAAAGCTCCTTTTCCCCAGTACAGTGTTTGAAACTCTGGCAGGTTATTTACAAATGCTTGCTGCTTCTCT